AGGTGTGATACTCGTCGCCGCGCGGCTCGCCCGGGCCACAAACCACAAACCCCTGCAGAGAGACACAGTCGGCACAGACTGAGTGTGAGAGGATACGGAAAACCTCTCACCGCTCACCGCTCCACCTCGATGGCTGTTTGTCAGCCATGACTGTGAGAAAACTATATGCAAGATTTAGATGAGCTTGGTGTCCAGCGCGTAGACGGTGACCTCTACATTCCTCGCCACGCTCTTTCCTCCCTTCTCGAACTCGCCCTTCTCCAGCGTTATGTAGAGATCGTTTCTCATCTCACCTTCAAGAGAACAAGATATGTGAAAAAAATGGTGTTGAATCAAAATTTAACAACAAATTGGGAGAGCAGAGATTGGCTTGTCAGTAATATAATAAATTATATAAATATATGCGTTTTATTTATTTTTTATTATACAATTTTGAATAAAAACCAGTTTAACTATTTAGTTTCTACTCTAGAGTAACTATGGGTTAAATGCTTTGATCAGTGACTAAGGTCTTAAATCACCTTCAAATGGGATCGAACCTACAACTGTTTGCAATCCAGAACCCTTATCAAGATTTGCACCAAGAGTGCATTTCTAGCATGGATTTTCAATGTTAAAATGAAACCATAAGTCCCAATGGATGCCTTCACACAGACGGTGAAAAAAAATCAAACGACTTTTTACCATGTACATTGATTTTTATGCTGTTTGCTCAGCAGAAAAACCCACAGACCAATAAGACTCAAGCTTTTTCTCATGTTTCTGGAAGTCTAATTGATTCTGGAATGAAAAGGCACTTCACATCGAATGAACAGAAACGCAAAAACACATCTCTCCTCAACAAACTGCCTGATTTGAAAATGTTGCAGGTTTAATACTATACACTTCAGGTGTAGCACCATGAGCTAATGATAAAACATGGAAAGTTTTATCATGATTATGACAGAAGAGAACGAACACAAAGTTAATCTCTCCCAAATGTCCTCAGCAGGTGCATCCTGTGACTCACAGATAAGGCCGCTAACAAATGAACACATTCTCTATCACACAGGAAGTGTATTTACATGCTCACAAATTGCAATTTTTCATGGTCCACCCGTGCTTCGACACCCTCACCTCAACAGCTCTGCATGCACATTTTCACATTGGTGCAAATGCAAATGTTATGGCCAAAAGTAGGTAATCAACATTTATATGATGTATCACTCATGTCGAGGAAACAAGCACAGGTCCATTTCCTGACACTAAAGATATATGTAGATGCATGCACAGTTGCATGCTTTGTCCCATGCAGCATGGTTTTAAAATGCACTGTGAGCTGCAGGTCACGTTTTTAAAGCATGCAAACGAAGGGGACAAAGAACTTGTGCCACCGAGCAGAGGAAGTGTGGGTTCCTGTATGTGTGTGTAATGCATTTAAGTGCTTGCAGTCCTATTTCAAGACCCAAATTCAAACCAGTAGTCATGCCAACTAATGGCCAAATAACAGTTGCTGTAGCAACAATCAGAAAAAAATCAAAGTGAGTTTCCTGGAAGATGGAAACTTGACTAAATGTGAACACACACTGAGAAAAAAGAGAAGATCAGCCTACAGCAAAGAACTAATAATAAATCGGGCAGCCATAAGGCACGGTTACTGCCAGCGACGGCACATTCATCCAGGAGGCAGCAGACAGACTGCTTGTGCAACCAAAACATCTGGGTCAGTAATGGAAAGACGGAAGGAGAAAATAGCCTCAGACGCACACAGACTGCCTGACGAATGCCGCACACAATAATGGCGAGAGCTTCTCGCACTTGCAAGTTAGAGTCTGATTGGTTGGCTTTGTGGAATTCATGGGAGTCAAGGTACACTGAATTTTATCAGTCTGATGGGAAAGAAGATCAAAGTAGAGTGAGGCTAAATTATACAGCATCAAAAGTTTTATTTGAGAAAATAAACTCTAAATAATTATATTTTTTTAAACTCTAAATTCTAAATAAATATCTAATTTATTTTCTTGAGCATGCTTGGATATTACCGAATATAATAAACTTAAATCTCAACTTATACACATATTTTCGCATAATTTTGTTAGTTTGGAGAAAATTTCTGCAGTCTACAATTAGAGATTTATGGAGGAGGTGATTTGTTATCAATTATTTTAAGTAATTTTAAATGGTGAAGATACAAATTCAGTTTTTTAATGCATTTTGTGCACTGCAGATGTTTAATATTGATAGCTTGCCAAAACACTACTCATTTATTAATTTATTTAGTGGACCAGACTTTATGCTGATAGTCAAATGTTTACATAAGTCATATTACAGAGAATGTAATCTCAGCTTAATATGTCATTTTATTTCTTAAAGTTACACTACCATTCAAAAGTCAGTAAAATTTTATTTAAAAATAATAATAATAGTTTTATTCAGCAAGGATGCATTAAATTGATCAAAAGTAACTTTTATAATGTTACAAATGTATTTCTATTTCAAACAAATGCTTTTCTTTTAAGCTTTGTATTTATCAAAGAATCCTAAAAATATATTAGGATTTCCAAAAATATGAAGCAGCACAACTGTTTTCAGCATTGATAATAATAATAAATGTTACTTTAACACTAAATCAGCATATTAGAATGATTTCTGAAGGATCATGTGACTCTGAAGACTGGAGTAATGATGCTGGAAATTCAGCTTTGCAACACAAATAAATTACATCTTCAAATACATTCAAACAGAAAACAAGTATTTAAAATTGTAATAATATTTCACATTATTATTGTTTTTACTGTATTTTTAATCAAATCAATGCAGCCTTGGTGAGCATAAAGTAGATTTATTTTAAAAACATTTAAAAACTTCCAAACCCCAGACATTTGAATGGTTGTGTATATAAGCATACAAGCAAAGCATATGTTGATTTTTAAGCAAAAATGATTTTCACCTGGCATGATGACATCAGAGAAGCCTAGTTTTTTGGTAATGGACACTCCTCTGGTGAAGAGCACCATGTATTCTCTCCGCAGCTGCTCGATGTCGCCATGCAGCAACTGAAGCGCCACCGCCAGACCTGGATTGAACACACACATCCAAACTCATATTAATTTTCCAACAAACACAGCATAATATGAGCTAATTACAAATGATTATTCACAGCTTTCTTGAATCAATCACTTAATGAATGGACTTTTACCCAACAGACCGACACTGAGAAAACTTTGCACCTGCACATGATGAATATTCACTATATTCATTGGAGAGCACATGAATATTCATTAGAAAGCTCTGAATATAATAATCCTCCCACACTCGACTCACTTGTTTTGAGAGGTTGTGATAAATGTCAATTTTGCCTAATTGTATTCTGTCCAGAAGAGTTTTGGCAGTGATTCTGGTTAATATCTGAGTGGTTTGCATTTGGATAAACTGCGCTTCTTTTGTGACAATGGTAATGAATATTCACATGTAATGATGTGAAAGTGATGTGATGTACCGAAAAAAACATTATCAGCCCAGGACTGCCTCTTGTAAAATTTCTAACCACATGAAAATAAATTAGATGATCCATGCCAAGTACCGTCTGCAACTTTACAGGAAATCTTCTCCTTACAGCGTTATTACAGTTCAAACCATAAAACATAGATAAAAACAACCACTACAATTATTGAAAGTATTTTAGTTACTTGAAATTAAAATAAATATTAAATTAAATATGTAAAAAATCTTTTTTTATTATGAAATTATTTAAATTCAACATTTTCTTTAAATTTAAAAGTGGAAAAAAAACTAAATCAAAATATGACTAAACTATTTTAAATATAACAATTTTTAACCTGTTTTCCAATGTTTTTCTTGTCGTCTGAGCAGTCAGGTCTGAGTTTTGCTGAGCTTTGAAAAACTGGGCCGCTAAGGATGGAAAACAATCCAATAGGCCATCGGTACATGACGGTAAAATGATTAAGCAAACATGCATCAGGGTCTGTGCTCCTGCAGCTCTTAATGATGTTCTGAAGCAGCGCCGAGGTTGATCATAAACCTCATCTGGCACATACTCAATGGCAACGGCTTTATGTTGTATAATCGCTGTTTGATGGCACAGGGTCAGAGGAGTACTATTGGAGAATTATTCAATTACTGAGCTCGCACAACGTCTCCATTAATCACACAGACAGATTCAGAGCGTGCACATGGGAACTAAGCCAATCTAAACCTACCCAAATAGAAATGTTACGTTACTAGCATGTATTTACTTCTCAGCAATTAGAAGACAATGATTAATAAAATGTTCTATGCAAATGATTTGAATGTATAATGTATAAAATATTTAAGTCACTGTATAAGTAAGATGCATTTATGGATATCAAGGTTAAGTATAAAATCAAGGCAATTTTTAATAATAAAAAAATAATGCAATTTTTTTATTTGTAATAAAAATGTAAATAAAATAAATTTAAAAAGTAATTTATTTTTTTATAAAAATGTAAATAAAATAAATTTAAAAAGTAATTTATTTTTAAATTAAATTAAATTAAATTAAATTGTGAAACCCTTTAAGATTGACTCCAATTAAGGCAATATTTTTCTTAAAAATGTTAATCAAATAAAATTAGGTTTAAATACAGGAAAATTAATTATAAAATATAAATTAAATTAAAATGCTAAGCCCTTTCAGATTGGCTCCAATTAAGACAACATTTTAAATAAAAATAATAATAAAATAACATTAAATAAAAAAATAAAAAATAAAAATCATTCAATTAGTTAAATTAATTAAATTAAATCATTAAATGCAATTCAATTAAATTTAATATAATTTAATTCAATTAAATTGGCTCTAAATGAACAAAATTGAGATTTTTTGACAAGTACTATACATATTCAGAGCTCTCTAATGTAACATTGCTCTATAATTACAGTCCAAGTACAGTTAATTTATTTTCAGCCCATTATCATAATGTTTAATAAGGTCCTGATAAAGCTGTTTCTTTGTTCTGCTCAGCGTAACTGATGTGGTAGAGATTAATCTAATAGAAACATCACAGCTGATGAGTGTGTATCACAGTAAGGATGTGATCTCATTTCCACTGCATGAGCAGGCGTTTAACAAACCTGCATTGAATAATTTCATACATTAGCAGAAATCATATCTTCGTTCATTTGGATAAAATCTGAAATTTAGCAAGATGCATCTTTTGTGAGCATTACTGTTCATTGTTTGGTGAATAAATGACTATGAGACAGTCATCATAATGAATGTATTCCCTGCTTTTGCGATATGATTATTCAACAACGGATGTGGAGGTGCTGCGTACAATTACCAGCTCTTCACAGAAAACGCAGAAAACGCAAAAAAGCTGCAAATCTACCATCTGGATGCTTGTGCTTCTTTATGTGCATATCTTTTTTTCCCTGCCAGAATGAAATTTATTACCATGTGTAGCTGTTTGGATAAGCCACCCTAAGGGTCTTCTTATGCTTCTTCAGATCTAAAATTATTAACTTCGAGTCATCATGCAAATGAGGTTTCAGGGAGAGCCGAGCATCTTTATAACACCGCCAGATACCACTGCTGGCGAACCGCGTACACAAGCATTATGCTGAAAATGGGGGTATTTAATTTAAGGGGAAAATACACTTTTGAAGGTTTTACTTTCCCTGAAGTCCATTTATAATGTTTATCAAAGTTTCATGCACCTAAAACAGTCTTAACTGGGGTTTTCATGACCATTTTCCAGCCTCTCTCTGACCTTAACAACAAAGAAGGCTGTTACTGTATCTTTAAGAATATATGCAAATGACCTCTTAAATGATTGGCTAACCTCTTTTCATGTAACCAAGTCACTGGACATTAAAATAAACTCTGATATGTAAATGTGGGCAGACTTATATTAATGGTAATTTCATCCCCATTTATGAAAATAGTTTTCAGTAATTGAATTGGGACAGCTTCATTACCTGTGTTGGATCCTGAGAGGTTGTATCTGGAGTTGACTTTCTTAATGATGTTGTCGTGGATTTGACTCCAGTCGCTCTCTGTGTTGCAGCTGCAAAAAAACAAGGACAATCAGAGCACTGGATTCAATCACAGAGACACACAGATATAAAGAACAGCAATCACATTAACAGCCTGAAGGACTGGACACGAGCCAGCTGATAATGTGTGAGTGAACCAAAGTTCTAGAGCCAAACACATCTGTCTGCCGTCCAGTGCAAAGTAGGCCACAATATTACAGATCGTAGAGACAGATTTCCATTTGTATTTCAGGTACCAACTCTTTAGATTACAACCATTATACTTTATTGCATACAAAAATCTGCATTAACACAGAAAACATCCTGAAATCTGATTGTGGAATAGAGAAAATAAGCTATAAAAATAAGGACAAAGACAACTTTGTTTTTCTTAAGGAAAGTTATTAAGTAGTGACATTTGCTACCCAAAACAAAACAAAAAATAAAATAATAAATAATTTAAATTAAATTAAACAAAACTAATCTAAGACTATTTTCATGGCAATTAAATCTGGTTTTAAAAAGATAAAAAGAATTTTCGTCATTTAAAATGACAAATTTTATATATAAAGAGTGTCTACTCGAGATAAAAAAAAACAAAGATTAAAAAAGTTTTCCTGTTGACAAATGACTAAAATTCTTTAGAAAGCTTTCTGAATAATGTTTTTGGCTGATTATCTTTATTAAATGGAAAATAGAATTTATTAGAATTCAAATTTTTCGATTTTTTTTTAAATTGTAGAATTATAATATTTATATTTTTTAATTTTTATAATTATTTTGACTTTAAACACCTTTATTTATTTATGTTGGTGTTTCATACCATGTTATCATCAAATACTGTTTTCATGGCACAAACTGGGTTAAACCTTTTACAAAAGATAAAAAAAAATGTAGTCATATTTAAAAGGAGATAAATTTTATGTATAAAGAAAAATGCACATACAATTTTCTATATCCAAACCCTCAAAGTTTTCATGTTAATAATTTACTTAACAAATCCTTAAGCTTTCTGAATAAAATCACTGGCTGACTGTTTGAAATGAAATGAATAAAATTTATGATTTGTTCAGTACATTACTTTTTTTTTCACATCTTTGTGAAATGTCATCATCCAAAATTATTTTCATGGCAAATGTAATTTTTTTCTGGACATCACACTTTTTAAACTCCCTTATATTCATAGAAGAAGATTATTGAGCATGAACATGACGTTGACTAGGCAACCTCATCTAATCTGACCAATCAGGGTAAAGAGTAAGTCTGATGCCAGGAAGTCAGATTTGGTTGATTTCATGGTCCTGAGGTGTTATGCGGTTTGTTTGTGTGTGTGTGTGTGTGTGTGTGTGTAGGGTCACTTACGCATAGACCTTCAGCAGGTGGTCATCTTTGGAGTCAGCAGTGAGAAGATCAGCGATGCTGACCACAGCACAGCCGGACGGACGTCTGTACTGCACATTACACGTGTTCTTCTTCTCTCCTGCACCCATCCTCCCTACACACACACATACATACACACACACACACACACACACAAAACAATCAGTGCTCATCACACGCCTGCAGGCTCTTTGGCATCAGTAATTATTCAGTGGAGAAATATCGGCTTTTACCAATCCTAATGATGTGTACCACAATATACACGTCTTTCCTCAGGTCGCCGCTGCCCAGATCCTGAATAAAACATCAGCGACAGTTAATCAGCACAGATCACTCTGCATGATTACTCTGGCAGTGATTTCATCTCAACACTCACCACAAAAAGTGTGCATTGTCTTTCAGTCTTCTCGGGAAACTTGGGCAGACCGTTTTTATTGAGTTTAACAAAGAACCTTTCACTGTAAAACAAAGAGAGTGAACAAGAGAAATGCTTTCAGTTTATACAATGAGTTTATTCTGCTGTTTAAAAACACATAGCTCTCAAGTAATTGCATTTTTCATGTATCATTTTTGGCACAGCAAACACAATGCTCGCTGTAGTATTGTTGCCGCCGCCGCCATGTCGTGAAGGTGCTGTGTGTTTCGTTGTGAAAGCGAAACTACTTTGGTTGGCCTTCCAAAAGAGCACGATATCCGCTTCGTCATGTCTGGAGCTGATCCGTGCTAGTCGCTGAGGAAATACATCAATTTCGTGCTGCGGATCGCCGGATTGGCTTTCACCGTGGACGAAGCGGAGTCCAGCCCGGGGTCGTCACATGTGGTTGCCGCAAGCCCGCCGGCCGCGCCGTTCTCAAGCCCGCCGGCCTCCCCTCACTCAAGGCCGCCGTGTGTTTCGTTGTGAAAGCGAAACTACTTTGTTTGGCCTTCCAAAAGAGGACACGACTAGAAATCAGTGGTTAAGTTGTATTTACAACACTGTTCCAGAACAGTTCAACCCAAATATTCAGATGTGTCCAGCACATTTTATGGAGGACTGTTTCCTGATCCTGGAAGAGTAGACTACAATGCCGGCTGTTCTGAATAAAGAATTTGCCACTGACGATTCAAACGCGAGTTTTGGTCAGTGTAGAGTAGCGCTTGTTGTTTGTCATTTCTCCGATCACAAATGCAGACATGGTTTTATGCTTACGCGGCGCGATGCAACGCAACGTGTAAAAAGACAGTATAAGTCATTATAATCCGTAATTATGTCCCCACTGGATGCAACAAATGCCTCGTTTATAATGGGTTTTAATGTTTTTGTCTCGTCGCTCCGGCCGGGACACGGCATCACAGTATGGTAAGGGGCGTAACTAGGGATGGACCCAATTTTCGGCAAAACAAAATTATTTGGCCAAAAATAGCAAAAAAATCTCTTTCGGTGTTCGACCGAATAAGTGAAAAAGCCGAATAATATGTACCGAACAATGACTAACGCGATCAAATAGAGGCACACACTAATGCAGCAAACATGTCGGCAGTGTGAAAGTATTTAAAACTATCAGAGAAAGACGCAGAAATCATTACAAGCACTAAGCACCGACAGCAAAAGACTGTTTAGTGCTGCATCACGTCTCCAATGAGAAGAAGAGGTGGCTAATGCTGGTGGCTAGGTATGATGATTGAAATTGCCTCAAACGATTAGTAAATAAACTGCAGAATGTTATATTTTCTAATGCACGCACGAATTGCATGTATTCTGACAGCGCTGCACGAGCTCGCGGCGCCAGGGTTCAAAGGAAAATCTGCGCTGAACTTGTTACTCGTCAGTTGCTCAGTAACATTTTTGTTAATTTTTTTAAAGGCATGTGACATTGTGATACGTGCGACAAACATCTTCCCAAATTCGTAATGAGAATAATTTATAAAGCTGCATGCTGTTGTTAACAAAAAGAAGCACTGAGATCTTCCTGTGGGTTTCTGCCAAAATAAAAGCATCCATCAACATTCATAACAACATTCAACAACTCCATCAACATTCATAAATAACAGTATTGTAATTTTACTGTTGTTCTGTAAAATAAAATAAAAAGCAAGATAATAATAATTACCCTACAACAGCTCTATTAATACATTTATTATAACATTCACACACAGTGTTCAAATTGGGATCTGTAATATATTCTAATGTTTTAAAATAACTCTCTTCTGCTCAGCAAGGCTGCCTTTATTTGTACAGTAAAAAATACATGCCTGATTCAAGTCTCAAAAATGGCCCAAAAATATTAGGCTATTTTACTAACTTATTCATTTTAAGTTACATTTTGCTTTGATGGTATAATGTCTGCAAGAATGTTAAAAAATGTTCAGTCAGTGTTAAGTAAATATTTTTAAATTGTTTTGTAATTGATTTTTTATTTAAAAAGCACATTTTGGCTATTTAATTTATGCAATGGTGAAAAACAAATGGCAAAATAGGCCTACATGGGGGAAAAAATGCGAAAAACCATGTTCGGTATTCGGTCTTCGGCCCAGTGTTTCATTTTGTTTGACTTTGGTTAATAATTTTCATTTCGGTGCATCCCTAGGCGTAACATTTCCGTCACATGCTTGAGGTATTCGGCCAATCACAACGCACAATCCACTCAGGATACGCACACATTCATGCACGGACTTGTATTAAACCGGACCTTCACACAAACACCATGTAATTAACTGTGCATTGTTGCGATCCCAGCGTCCCATCACCAGAGGCAGGAGCACAAAGGCTGTTTTGGCCTTTGACATGCAGCTGCAGGGCTGCGATGGCTTTCTGAAGAGGCATCTGTGGACACTGGGATATTGCTATCGGCAGATATCACGCCAACATTTCCATAACACACAGATGGGCGGCTTTCTTTCCCTCTCACCCCAGAATTTGATATTTCCTCCCTTGATGCCAGGGATTGTAACACGACAAGTTCAAATGGGACCCGATACGAGCCCCCGTCTCCCTCCGGATAAATCTGGATAAATCGACACGGCCGGAAAAGTGATCCCTGTATGTCTGAGTGGATATATTAACCATGCCACAAAACGCTCCCGTGGGAACAGAGGGGGAGCCGTTACCCAGAAGGCTGTCAATCAGCACTTTGTACACATCCTGTGGCAGAAATGAAGTGAAACACAGATAGATGCTTTCTCACACACTTCACACACTGACACAAGGGGCTTTTGGTTGCAGCGCTCAGACTGTCTAAAGAAAAATGAATACAAACAGCATCCTTGGCTTTTTGTAACAGCACTCGCTGTCCGTGCGCTGCTAGACGAAATGGGTATAACTGGTAACATGAGCTGCCTAACACCAGGACTGATACTGAATCACTCCAGCCAAAGAAATGCTGCAGGATCAGAACATGTAAAAAAAATAATAATAATAATAAAATAAAATAAAATATAATTAGAATTCAACTTTTAGTTTGTGAATTAGAAAACAATTTTTGTTTATTTTTTAAAAACTTATTATAAAAAATAAAAATAAAAATAAAATAGTATATGAAATAATACATGAATATAATATGATACAAAATTAAAATAAAATAAAAGAAAAATAAAATAAGAATTTATCTTTTAGTTTGTAAATTAGAAACCCTTTTTGTTTATTTTTACAATGCATTATAAATAATAATAAAATTGTACAGAAAAATAATAAATTAATATATTATGATACAAATATTCTGTATAATTATAATAAAATAAAAATAAAATGTATTATAAAAAATAAACAATTTTAAATAATAATAATAAAATAGTATATAAAAATAATACATTAATATTATATGATACAAATATACTTTATTAGAAATTATTATTATAAGAAGAAAACTGTATATAATAAATTAACATAATAATAAATTAATATAATAATATGATTTAAATTTTTAAAAAGTAGAATAAAAAATAGACTACTAGCCTAAAAGTAATAATTTAAAAGAGTTAATTTAGCAAGATGCTAAATTACAGACAAGTAGAAATAAAAATGAAATGTTATAAATAAACAAAAGTAATACTAGTATGCAACAACATGGTATATCTCCAAATATTAATGTTAAATGCATAAATGTAGATGTTCATTCCATACTCAGAAGTCTGTACTATTGTCAGTAATGTGCACTGTGCAGTAATGTCTGTAACAGCACATTAAATGCATTTAGAGTAAAATATTCAAATTGGGATGCAGCCCTAGTGATTCTGGGGAATCTGGTCAGCAGTGTGATTAAATCCACAGGAGCTGTCAGGATGGACATTGAGCAGATTTGAAGCCGCAGGCGAGTCTGGCAGAGGCTGAAAAAACAGGAGCCTCCAGTCCATTTAACAAACAAAAAGAAACAAAACAAAAAAGATGAATAATTAACTGGAAACCAGCCAACTAAGCAGGTAGGGAAATCGGTGATGGATCAGAGCCACATTAATATTCTCCTTCAAGACTACAGACAGGGGACTGAGGGAAAAAACTCAATAAATGAACAGAGGGACAGAGGGAAAACACTGAGACAATGTGAGCAAACGCCAGCGAGCAGCTGCTGAGACAGTTACAGTCTGTCATTAACCATTAGATGAGATAAACAGGTACACACACAACCGTCTGTAGACTCTCACAGCCTCCACTGCAGGTGTGTTTCCCTGATGAAAACTGTTTATTTGTTTTTCATCTGTCTGGCAGCAGCCAGGAACAAACACAGGAGGAAGTACACATAATGAGGTTGTGATTGACGAGCACATCCTGGATACAAATAGGATATTTTTCCACAAAAGGAAGACTTTTTATTATAATATCGCTATGAAAGCTTGTTTAGGCCACGGGATTAAAAATAAATAAATAAATTTTAACTGCGAGTTTTTATCTCACAATTCAGACATTTTTAATAGAGTTTATAGAATTGAGAATTGTGAGATATAAATGCAGAATTGCGTGATACAAAGAAACAAATGTGAGATATAAACTCGCAACTGCAGGAAAAAAGTCAGAATTGTGAGATAAAAAGTCGAAATTACCTTTTTAATTTTTTATTCCATGGCGGGAAGAAAAAATCTAAACTGCAAGATGTAAACTCATAATTCTAAGAAAAGGTCAGAATTGCAATAAAATAAAATCTGAATTTTTAATTTATATCTTGCAATTTTTTTCTCAGAATTGTTAAATACAAACTCAGAATTGCAAGAAAAAAATGTCACTTTCGTAAGAAAAAGTCAGAAGTAGGCAAAAGTCTCGATTACCTTTTTAATTTTTTTTATTCTGTAGCGGAAACAGGCTTCCATTAAAAAAGCTGTTATTTTGAACTTTCTATTCATTAAAGAATCCTCAAGAATCCTTCAATGTTGAAAGAAATTGAAAGAAATGTTTCTTGAGCATCAAATCAGCATATTAGAATGATTTCTGAAGGATCATGTGACACTGAAGACTGGAGTAATGATGCTGACATTTCTGCTTTGCATCACAGAAATAAATTACATTTAAAAATATATTCAAATGTATAACAGTTATTTTAAATTGTATTCATATTTTACTACTTTTTAATATTACTACTTTTACTGTATTTTTGATCAAATAAATGCAGCCTTGGTGAGAATAAGAGACGTCTTTCAAAAACATTTTTAAAAACTTACTGACCCCAAACATTTGAACAGTTGTGTACGAGTGTAAATCTACATTTTAATACATTTATAAGCATGTATAAATGATTGGTTAGACGCTCACCTGAGCGGTTTGTTCTCTCGACTATCATAGATGAAGAAGAAGACCTCCAGCTCTTCACCCAGGTTTGAGCTCATCAGACTCTTCAGATGGACAAACAGGTGATGTGTGCTGACAGGAGTCGGAGTTTCCTTCTTTCTGTGCCGATTCTCCATCTATCCATCCAAACACACACAGATCATTACATGTGATGCATCCATTTTTCAATAAAGCAAGACATAAAAGTGACCCAGCAACACAATGCATGTAAAGATCTAACTTTGCATTGTGTTTCTCTTTTTTAACACCAAGAAAAGCAGGAAAAGCTGTGCATAACATCTTCAGAAATCCACTGAATATTCCATTGAATTCCAGCGGCTCCATGTTCACAGCACGACTGCTTTACAGCCAGCCAAATCTAATTTGTTTCAGTTAATATGCTCCTTTCTTTGCAATGACACCATAGAGTGCAATGTCAAATGCACACGCACTCACATTCACATGCACATCACTGCACACATGCTTATTTTAAGTGCGCATTCACACCGTTGTTGTGTAACAAACACACTTCTCACATGGGAGCATCATCTATTGGATGTGTAGATTCGTTGAACCGCACAACATTCTGATCACACATCTCTGTGTGAGGACACTGAGGTGTGAACAGGCGTGATGTGAAATATAAAAAGGCTAATGGGCAGTGCATATGCTCTATCTGTGTGTATTCATAAAGACCACAGAGACAAACACTAATGGACACTTTCATTTATTATCATACTTATTATGATAAAGTTATTATGATAGCAACCAATTAAACAAAAAAAATGGCATGTGGCCTTTAAGAATTTCGCAGATAATTAGCATTGGAAGTTTTGCAAGCAACTATTCAAGTAAATAGACAGTCATTAGGATTAATGTGTCCCAAGATATGTTAAAAACAGTATGTCAGTGGTGTGCTGATTGTGGCAATTTGTTTTGTTTTTTTGGCTAATATATTACCCACAAACCCCAGCAAAACAGAAAAGGAGGAATTTGCAATGAAATGTTTGCAATTATAGAAAAAGCTATATTAATAGTTTTTAAATGCATGAACATAATAATGTAATAAATAACAATAATAATAAATAATAACATTTTAAAATAATGCATTTAATAAAATGCTAACACATGTAAAATAATTAGGGTATGTAAAAGGGTAGATAATTAAATTGCATCAAAATAAAATAAATGCATGAACATAATAATGTAATAATTCATGTAATAAATTATAAATAATGGTGTATTATAAGGTAATGCATTTAATGAGACGCTAACACATGTAAAATAATTATGGTATGTAAAAAGGCAAATAATCCAAAATAAAATAAAATAAAAAATTCTACTTTATGTAATAAAATATTTTTTATTCATACAACTGTTACAATTATGAAATAATTATTTTAAATAATAATAATAATAATAATAGTACTGTAATAGTATTATACTTTATACAACTTATAATTATGAAAAAAATATTTAAATAATTATAATACTTTATAAAATGATACAATAATTAATAAACAATAAAAAAAATATTATACGAGTTTAAAACAAATGTTTACATGTACATGTATAATAAAGGGTAAATACTTTAAGTGCATCCACAAATTAGATTTTAACTTACTGTAAGGTGTTGTACGAGTAAAAACAAAGGTATTGAAGTACATTAATAAAGGAAGAAAAAAATCAATCAATCAAAGAGAGCAGTAGTTCCTCCTTTGCGAGAAATGATGTTAACAGAAGCTCAAATAACAGAGTTTTAATGGGAATGAATAGGCTAAAAAGATAAAGCACTGGAATTTCAATAAAGACTTTATTCCTTGTTTGGCAGGCCAGGTCAGATCACGGAAGGTTCTGGATTCTAAACCGCTTACTTTCACATCAAGAACTCCAAACAAAGACCACCTGTGCTCTGATAATGTGTGTGGGGGGGGGGTAATAATTATCATGAATAATCAACCAAGCCAAACAAACCAAACCAACAAGGAATCATTCATGATATCTGGTTCTAAAATTGACTAAATCAGACTGATAAATAAAAAATAATATTGGCTGATACAGATAGTCCAATTTACTGTGCATTTTTAGTTCTAGCCATGTTTTCCCACTCTCAATCTCACAGTTTGTGTGGTGCGACTGTGTGACCTGATTCACTCCCACACTATTCATCACAGCACTCTGGGTATGTGTCACAGGTAATGAGCTCAGTCTAAACACACACCAAACGCCTGCTATTCAATCCCAGCTAAACTAGACCATCATAGCTCAAAATAACCCAAATAAATCAATAACGACTGCCAAGAACTTCCTTTTTTAGCTTCGACAGTCATTCATCATAAACAGCAGTTCTAGGTTTAAACAAGATCGGTTAATAAAGCTGTGATAACTTTTGAGTTCAAATGATTTTTTTGGCCGTCAGCAATTAGCAGGTTGCAAACATCCGCCTCGCGTTTCATCGCATATGCAGCTGATGGCAAAAAGCGCCACATAAACCACAGAGACAGGGTGCGGTAATGGAGTCCGGCTGCCAGCGGAGGGTTATTACATTACATTACACAGTACTGGGACACTTCAGGTCACGTTTAGCTGAGGTAATGCTCCACATAACTCAATTATATCACAGTAGAGACTCCCCGCTGTCAACAATCCTCCAGCCGGTGACCAGACTTCCACATCCATGACGGCTGTAATTTTCTGCGGCGTATCTTGTCTGTGCGGTTCAGAATTACTGTCATTTTCCCCAAGGGGCCTGTTACTCGAGCTGATGGGAGTGCGTGAGGCTTTCATCGCGGGCCTCTTGCGTTTAACAGAATGGGATTAAGTGGCTAAATCGGGGATGGAGAGAAATCTTTGATAGACTGAGGAATGCAGCTGTTGTGGGCAGGCAGGAAAACAGACGTACCAGACGGTAGAGCTCGGTGATGCTGATTTCATCCGGGTCCACCATGCTGAACTCCCTCCTGGGTACCAGGTCCAAACCCAGCTGCCTGTGAAAGATGGAAATAACACAGCATTACTAGACTGTGTCCAACATGTTTCACCGTATCTTGCAAGTGAAAACGCTACACACAATCAAAACCAATCCGTAAGTATCTGGCTTTTAATAAACTGTTGCGTGAAGCTGGATTTTGAGTTTTCGCTGTGGACGGGGATACCGAACAAAACACTGCAGAATTACAAACCAAGCAAAAAAACAATATCCTACTGCTTATGACTGCCGGTTAGGACAAAATCTCATGGAAGAAATTAATCTCACAAACAAAAGTCTGGGACACATTTTAGGCCCCCAAAAATCACAATAATTAAATAAGAATGTATATTTCACAGAAAAAATGAAGAACATTTAGGCCCATATGTCCAGATATTTTGCACGAGTGTGAGTATTTATGTAATTTGCAATATTCTCTGTGGTAATTATCATTAGATTATAATTACTGGAATTAATTAATTTACTTCTCTTTAAACAAGCATAACATATATACAGTACAACAAATAATACCAAGATATATAAATATTTAACTTTATACTTACACTACTGTTCAAAAGTTTGAGGTTAGTACGATTTTTTTTTACACAAATGATTTCTATTACAAAAAACTGCTCTTTTAAACTTTCTATTTATAATAATGTGTATTTATTTAAAAAAATGTATTTTTTAACAAAAATATTAAGTAGCACAACTGTTTTCAACATTGATAATTATAAGAAATGTGTCTTGAGAACCATATTAGAATGATTTCTGAAGGATCAGGTGACACTGTAGACTGGAGAAAATTCAGCTGAAAATTCAGCTTTGCATCACAAGAATAAATGACATTTAAAAATACATTAATAAAGAAAATTATTTTAAATCACAATAATATATCAAGATTTAAATAAAATGAATGCAGTCTTGCTACGCATTAGAGACTTCTATCAAAAACATTAAACAACCTTACCAACCCTAGTCTTTTAAACAGTAGGAAATTTTAACAATATTTCAATATTTTAACAATTAACAATATTTAACTTTAGTTACAGTAAAAACAATTACAAGTTTTGTTGAATTACGGTAAAAGGAATTTGAATTCAAATACGTTTAACTGTCACAAAAAATAAATGCAAATGCAAAAAAAAAAAACTTAATGGTCATAGGCTTCAATCTCATCATGAAGAATACAATATAATTCATATTCGCATAAATCACGTTATCTGATGTTTAATAAACTCTTATGTGGAGCTAGATTTTGAGATTTCGCCTACGTTTCTTTCATATTTGTGTGAAATATGACCTGAACATGTTTGCGACAGGTGTTTTGTGATTAACCTTGTTGCTTTAACACATCACACAGGTGATACCGTACTCACTCGTTGCCCCAGTCCAGACGTGCCGTGATGTGCTGTTTGACGTCCCTCATGCGGTCGTGGGTCAGGTGACCCACCAAAACCTGCCGCCTGAGGTCCAAAATCTCATTCATCACATGCCACAGTCTGTGAAACAGATCTCCTTCATTTTTCTATGGGGATAAACAAAAGCAGGGAAAGATAAACGTGAAGTGTTGATGATACAGCTTTAATAAGGAGTTTATATTGCTGTAGCACTCAAATATAATGACCTGGTGTAAAAATAATTCAAAAACAGTTCCCCCCCCCGCAACAAAAGCTTAAATACAAATAATATATTCCGCCCGACAGCGTCTGTGCACCCAGAGTTCACGAAGCCAGCGTCTGGCTGTGGGCGGACTGCTGTGTTCGCCCAAACAGTATTTACCACAAAGAGCTGCTTCCACATGGCTCCCCAGTCCCTCAGGGTGGACGTCATCTCCGTAATGACAGAGTCTTCGGTCGGCACCACCATCTCGAACTGCCTGTGAGTCAAATGTGGGCGGCACACAGCGCAACAGATATGAGATACACCTCATCTGCTTCTGCCACAGATGCTGTACTGTTCGTTAATCAAAGGAGAAAGCAGATGTACAGTGGAACGCTGGCGCTTTCCTTCTGTTCACCGTCGATACATTCATTTAGCATTATGTTCAGGCAGCAAAGTCTCACAACAGATGACTGTACACCAACAAAATGTCATAATATGGTAATATTGTATCTGATCAGCAACTTTTAATGAGTGAATGCGAAAAATTTGTTAAAAGTTTTATTACCACGTTTTTACTGCATTTACCCATTTTTGATTAATTAATACATTTAGAAATTAATATAGCATCATAGTTTTTTTTTTTTTTGGTTCATGT